TCACATGAATTAGTTGTATACGCATTAAAAATATCATTCCCTTGTTGTCTTATTAGAATGAGTCGGATATCGCAACAATAGATAGCTCTGCCCATAGTAAACCATTGTAAAATTGATAGTTCAGAGCGATATTCCGCCCCGTTCTCTCCAATAATCTTATAAGACTTTATCTAAACGATCGCCACGACGCCAAGCGGTGGCGCGGGGAAACTAGTCAGAATACTGATAGTTCCGACCTATAGGAGGGACGGAGACAATAGGTTGTCCTTGTCACACGTCTTATAGGATTTTGCCTGAGTTGACAATTTTCGATAATAGTATGTTTTATGTTTTGATTGATTTATTTTATGTCTTATTAGATAGTAGGTAGTTATAGGAATAATATATCGAAGTTTTGTATGAATCGTGTTAGTAGTTTAAGCGTAATTAAGGAAAATATCGGGAATAGTTTTTTATGAATAGTCAATAGGATATAGGTATAATTGTTATAACAATGATGTCATTTTATGTGTTTTTACTTCTTCTTTAAAATGGTGTATGATAGTTAGACATTAAGCGAGTATAAGTAGGTTTTTTAAGACTTTTTAATTTGCAAACTTTATAGGGCCGTAGAGCTGTTGTTTATTAATATTCTTGTAAGAAACTTGTTGTATTAGATAGGTAACACGTAGGGCTACGTAAATAAATAGGTATCGCATCAATAAGTGTAAAAATGTACTGTGTAGGAGAAAAAACATGTTTGTATAGAACCGTTTTCTGAGACATGTCGCGCTCCCCACCCGGCGCGCCCGGAGCGCGCGGGTGGGGCAGCGAAGCCCCGTGGCAGGGCGAAGCCCTATGGAGGGGGAAAGTATAAATATTGCGGAGACCTATTTTTTGCGCGCCACACCTAAAATATCGTGTTTACGGACACATAACTATGTTAAAAATATGCCCAAATGTATGCCCGATGTATGTACAATTAGTTTTAAGCTCGCACTATTGTAAATCTTGAGAAAATGAAAAATAAAGTATAGCGTGGGTGAGGTAATGGATCGCTGGCCAGCTCAGTCCTAGCATATAAAATTCGAGTCGGAACATGCCCCGACATGCATTCAGCGACAGGCGCTCCTACCCTAAGGAACAGGAAGAAACAACCAAGCGGTTCACTCTGGACCTGAAGCCTCCTCTCACCGGCCATCCATTATCAGCGCCCACCGATTTCTTCAATACCGAACACCAGGGGTTTTATTCGCCGAAACTACAGTCCACTACAGTCAAGACTCCTGCGTGTAACTTCCTCCACCCCCTCAGTACGAGTCGGTAACTGTCCGCTACTGCGACAGCCCGGCGTCCCGTACAATTATTCTTATCTATACATAATAAATCCGGTTTCGAATCCCGGTAGGGCAAATGTTTGTGTAAAGAATACGAGCATTTGTACCTAAGTCATGAATGTTTCAATGTATTCCTATATAAACATACTATACATAATACAGCTCACTGAATCTTTTATCAAGGTCCTAGTTTGCAACATATAACTTATATGTGTAGAGTATATATTATTCTATTAATATTATGTTATATTTATATCAGTACCTATATGCATAGTATATTCTCATTTATATATATATATATATATATATATATATATATATATATATATATATATATATATATATATATATATATATGTAGGTATTATGTTTTGTATGTATTTTACATAATATATATATTGTTATTTATATTTTATTTTGTTTTATATTTTGCTGGCACATTACTCTTCTATATCTGTTAAACTATCCTTCGACTTAAATGTTGTCTGGAAAAGATCGCTTTCAGCGATAAGTCCGCCTTTACCCACCATAGTTTACTATCTGTTTTGTTAACCCTTTAATTGTGTATGTGTGAGTAATAAATTTTATATCTATCTATCTATCTATTTACAGCTCTTACATAGATTATAGAATGACTTAGCTACGAAATCAGTGGAGTGAGCTGGGATAATTAAGGATAGGTTATGTGAAGACCGAAATTTCAGCATACAACCATTATTCATACATATCATTTACTATCATCCCTGGAAACGCACAATTTCATTATCACCACTATTTACCATTTTGTAAATACGTATCAGGATCCCAAATACTAAAATTGCTATTTAAGAGTGCTAGACACTTAGCGGCATTTCTCTGTATCCCTATATGTATGTTTTATATCGTTAAGCATACCCCCTCAGGTTCGAGTGGTCTAGAGGCTCCAGACGGAGAGGAGACTCCCCCCGTGGGGAGATGCCATCCGCCTGGAATACCTCTAGAGGCACTCGCCAATTCTCGGCTTGATTTCCCCTTAGGATCTCGCCGTCCCCCAATGACGCTGTAAAGGTCATCTGCGACCAACAGCATACACGCTCTAAAAATAATAAAAACGTTAACCCTTTGGTCTTGACTGGACCTGCTGTTATTAGTACCTGGCAATCAGGGCCGAATTTAAGAGTGCAGGCGGAGGTCAGCCCAGGGACCCACAACAGAGATAAAAAAAACGACGGGTTGCACTCCGGGAGTGCCGGCAGAAGTGAAAACTTAAATATTAACGTTGTGCATTTTTGATATTTTGGAATGGTTAGGGAATAATTTTGCACGAATTTCTTTATTTATCAGTATAAAAGAACTATCATGTATGTGGTAGAATACAATATTTTAATTATTGCGCTATCGTACACAAACATGACAATTTATATTACATTAAAAAGTTTATCTCTCAGAATTACTCATTTAAGCGCACCTAGCGACATCTATTGTAAAAAAAATGCATTTTCTTAGCACTTACTTTTACAGACTTATTATTATAATACGATAAAATAAAATATTACTATGATTCGTCCAATATATTGATTGTCAACAACCTTTCCAATTTCATTGTGTGATCAGCCCACGTGTTTAACCTGACGATTTTGTACGATTTATAATGTCGACTAAAACCAGAGGAATTGTTTGAAAATCTTTGAATGGCATTCAAAGACAAGGGCCCTTCTAAAGCGACTGTTTTCTGCTATAATAATTAAACGAATTAAGGTGTCATCCAGTAACTTTGGCAGACGAAGAAAGAAGAAGCCGCATTATGACTGACTAGTGGCCCGCCCTCGCTTCGCTTCGGGGTAGAATTGATCAAAATCCTTTCTTAGCGGATGCCTACGTCATAACATCTACCTGCATGCCAAATTTCAGCCCGATCCGTCCAGTGGTTTGGGCTGTGCGTTGATAGATCACTATGTCCGTCAGTCACCTTTGAGTTTTATATAATACTAGCTGACCCAGCGAACTTCGTACCGCCATAAAAAAAATTAATTAAAAAAACATTGTCCAGCGGACAAAATTGTGAATCTAAACCATTCTCAGATCCCCTTGAACACACACAAAAAATTTCATCAAAATCGGTCCAGTCGTTTAAGAGAAGTTCAGTGACATACACACTCACAGAAGAATTATATATATAAAGACTAGCTGACCCAGCGAACTTCGTACCGCCCTAAAAAAATAGGGGTTGTCCAGCGGACAAAATTGTGAATCTAAACCATTCTCAGATCCCCTTGAACACACACAAAAAATTTCATCAAAATCGGTCCAGTCGTTTAAGAGAAGTTCAGTGACATACACACTCACAGAAGAATTATATATATAAAGATAGATGTTGCAGAAGAAAATGCGCTGGCGGTGAAAAATTAAATTCAATAGAATAGAATAATTATACAGATTCAGAATGTACTGCAGATTGAACGTGGATGTGGAAAAAACCCTTAAAAATTTAAGAAAGTGGCATAACTTTAATTTTACTGTTGTTCACGCATTGGTCAAAATTCATTAAACCTTTTTAGTTCTTAGCCAAAGAGTAATTTTGGTGTATTTCAAATGCATAGTACCAAGTAGGAGAGACGCGGCCCAGGCAGCAGACGGGACTCGAACCCGCACCCTTCGCTATCCGGGCGAATGCACTGACCAATTATGCTACCGTGGCCCTGACGGCCGCGTCGAAATTCTTCTAGCCATTCTTATGCTGCAAGGCAGCGCCATCTCTTCGCATTGTAGGTAACCCACAATGTCAATTGAATACTTTTTCAAGTATTAAACATTTGAAAGAAGAAATAGCAATTATAGTTATAGTTTTTATTTTTTCGAACCCGTTCGAGTCCCGTCTGCTGCCTGGTCGGCGTGGATTTGTTTCTAGTTATATTTTCTTTAGATTTTAACATCAAGCAGTTATATGCTTAAAAAATAAAAACTATGACGTTTAATTTATTATTTTAATGCATATCTGATGCATTTTTATCACATCACACTAATATTATAAAGGAGAAAGTATATGAGTGTATATATAACCTTCTTCACGTCTAAACGGATGGAGCGATTTTAATAAAATTTGGTATGGAGTTAGCTGACACTCTGGATTAACACATAGGCTACGTTTTACTGCGGGTAAATATCCCTAATAAACCGCCGGTAACACCGCGGGGCACAGCTAGTATTATATAAAAATATTTGCTTTCTGCACTACTCCTGCATAATAAAACTTTTATATTATGCAAAATCTCCTTCATGAACAAATCGCTTAAAAACACGCACAAAACTTTTCCCCAAACGCATCAATATGATGTTCTTAAACACCCGTAAAAATACTATCAATACATTATTCTCAGTAAATCCGAAACGCGCATTTCAGCCGAAAACTTATCGGAAACCTGTAGCTTTCACACTAGTACAATTGAATTCAAGCTTTAATAGTCATCCCATAGGCTCTCTTATCCTATTCCATTACAAAACTCGACACGGTACAACGCAATGCTGTACAAAAATACGCCTAAAGGATTAAAGGATAAGACAGGATTTCGCTCCTTTGCGTCATTATGGCTTGATAAGAATTAGCCAGAATATCTTGACCCCATCCCCTCCCTTCCTTTAATGCTGAAACGCAGTCGCAAAGGGTATATAATACTTTTAACAAAGACCAAGCGTTCCCAGTCGTCTCCGAAGGCAGATTTTGAATTTCGAATCGAGGATCGCTCAGTCGGTCCTTAGGCGTCGCGCGCTTCAGACGTCTTTTCTGTTGCGGAGAATTAATTACCGTTTTTTTGCCAGTTCCACATTAAATAGTTTTTGATGAAGATGGCAGGTGTTGTTTTGAAGAAATATATTTAGAAGTGAGTATTATGTCATTGTTAATTTCTTTGAGCGAAAGCTGAACTTAAAGAGTCAGTCCTTTACAGCGTTTCCGATACAGATAGCTATTTTATGATGAAAAGATAAAATCTTTTGAAACAACTTAAATATATCTCCTAAGTGCTTTAAATTTATGGTTTTCCAATGTTTCTTCAACGCGTCAATTTTGTTCGTGAATGAATGTTTAAAGTACATCTGTTATTTCTAAATCAAATATTTTTTTTTTAGTCTAGCCCCAAAGTAAGCATTATAAGGCTTGTGTTATGGGATATTAGGGTAACGGATAGAATACATATACTGTACATATATAAGTATATTTTTATAGAAATACATATAGAAACATCCATGACTGGAGTACAAATGCTCGTATTCATCACACAAACATCTGCCCCCACCGGGATTTGAACCCGGGACCTCTCGAGTCGGCGACACCATGAAACCTGGCGTACAATCACTCGGCCACGGAGGTCGTCAAAATAACGTAGCAGACAATCATAAGGCTGGTCTGATGTTAAGCGGCACCATAAATCCTTACTAAAATATCACTCATTCGTGGCCTCCTACCCTGACTTCATCACCTACCTCGTTGAGCAAGGAAACCCTGCTCAACAACACTCAAACTCAAACTCATTTATTCAGTCTAGGCTGTTACAAGCTCTTGTGAAAGTCAAACGCCATCGGTTCGCAAATCTACGGCGGGAGACCTTGTACTGAGAAGAACCGGCAAGAAACTCAGCAAGGGCTATTTTTTTCTCCCTGTTTTGTTTCATACAGAGTCGTCAATTGAAAGATGGCATCAAAAATTGAAAACATGTGTTGATGTCAACTTTCGTCACATTAATATTATTAATTATTAAAAGTTAAGTATAGCTAGGTACTATTTTTAAATTAAGAAGTGGCGATTAAACAATTTTCAACCAAATTAGCAAAGTAAAACGACTTAGTCTATTATGTTAAGCTCAAGGTGCCTTATCATTCATGAAATCTTTAACAGTAACCTTTTTTAGGGAGACATTTTTTATACACACTTTAAACTTATTAAAAAGTAAATCAATTATTTCTTTTGGTATTTCACCAGAAACAGAAACACAATACCACCAAAAGGAAGTGTTATTTTCTGTGGTCTTCTATACTATAAGGCGAAGGTTACTTTCCCAGACAGGCGCTCCAACTCCAATCCTAACCTCAATTTGTTTATTGTCATAAATCAAAAATATTTTTTTCAAATCGAATGCAAAATACAAACTCTTTGGATTGGTCCATATTTTTTTCCTACCACCAGTTAGTCTGTGCGGAAAGAGAATGGGCGTGGCGAAAAACGGAACTAATACCGGCCATACACACTACGAGAAATCGTTACGATTAGACTGTACAGTCCGAACGGTACCGATAAATCGTAGCGTGTATGTTATAAAACTGCACAGTTTCCTATACTAAACGATATCGTATAAACTGTTCCGTTCGAACTGTACAGTCTGACCGTAACGATTTCTCGTAGTGTGTATGGCCGGTATAACATTAAGATTTTTATTTGGCAATCCAACCCAGTCGTCTGTCAAACGTCAAAGTTTTGTATTGATACGGATTTGTTTGTTGTTGTGATTTCTTGCGGTTTTTTGTTAAATACAAATGTCATCATGTCTAAAAGGGGTAAAACCTTACAAATACGGTAGAGAAGCACTACAGCGCCCTCCAATCTAAATACCATTGTCTTTCCGCACAGACTCTAAGGAAATTTTTTTAGCTGTGGAGAAAAACTTCACAGCTTTAAATATTTATGTTACAATATTTACAAAATATTATATTGTTACGGTGTCAATACAAAATAATTTCATCTTCATCATAATTATAGAAAAATCCTGCCGGAGCGTTTTGAACACTGTGCACGCAACTGTGCAATTTTTGTCTGAAATATAATCAGACACTTTATAGTAGGCTTTATTAAGGAGTTCTTACTGTTATAATTTTCATTTTTTAAGCATGTAACTGCTTGATGTTTAAATCTAAAGGAAATATAACTAGAAAAAATTCCACACGCCACCAGGCAGCAGACGGGACTCGAACCCGCACCCTTCGCTATCAGGGCGAATGCACTGACCAATTATGCTACCACGGCCCTGACGGCTGCGTCGAAATTCTTCTAGCCATTCTTAAGCTGCAAGGCAGCGTAGCGTCATCTCTTCGCATTGTAGGTAACTCACAATGTCAAATGAATACTTTTATACAAGTATTAAACATTTGAAAGAAGAAATAGCAATTGTAGTTATAATTTTCATTTTAAGCATGTAACTGCTAACTTCTTACTGATCAATTAATGCTTTAGAATTAATTTTAAAATTCAAAATGTTCTTAATAGATTATTTATTATATTTTTAAGCATCTAACTGAGATTTGTAAATGTAAAGAAAATTTCGAAAATATAAAGAAGCCTCTTTACACCATCCAATCTCTTTTAGACCTACCAATCTCCTGTGTTAAAAAAAAAGATAGTTTAACAGCCCTTTTACAAAATTGCGCCACTGCCGTACTGATCGACGCGTAGGTAGATTTACACTAGTATATATTGCATTTTACGGGTGATGTTTCGAGTCTTATAAAATAATTATTAAAGAAGTAATTATAAAAATATATACATACTAGCTGACCCAGCGAACTCCGTACCGCCGCAAAATAGGGGCTGGTGGTAGAAGGGTGAACATTTAGGATTGGATGTATTTTTTAACCACATTATAAAAAAAAATTGTGTCCAAAAAAAATATATGTTAGGGGTGGAAAACCCTTATCATTTAGGGGTATGAAAAATAGATAGTAGCCGATTCTCAGACCTATTGAATATGTTCAATGATGGTAGATTAGTTTTATGAAAGTTTTTGATAGTAATTCTATTTAATTCAATATCAAAATACGAGGTAAACCTGCATTATTTTTTGGGAAAACTCACGGAGGTTAGATATTTTTTTTTGATAATTAATGAGATGAAAATCAAAATTCTGATACATTATGTTACAACAAAAACATATTTATGATGTCGGAGTAATTAATTTGATCTAATTTATTGAACATTATTGAGAGATTGAGGCGTTTGAAGTTGAGCATATTATCGTTTATTCCGTAAACGACGTACGTTCCGTAACGGTAGAACGATCAGTACAAAAAATGGAAAGTAGTATTTCCAAATATTCTACATTAACTTACAAAAGGGAGAATAAATCTATTGTTTACCTCTATTGGAAATAGTCAATTTCTTTTCTGTGCGAGAGGCACTCGCTTTTTTACCCGGCTGCGCAATGCAAGAGCGCGAAGCGCGACGCGCAGACAGGGTTATTACCCGGCTGCGCAATGCAAGAGCGCGAAGCGCGACGCGCAGACAGGGTTATGTGTTTAACAGTCTATATATGTATGTTTGTTCCTTTGTGGCACACTAGAGACCAAACGCCTGGACCGATTTTGATGATTCATACATCAATCGATTCGTCTCAATCATGGAAGTGGTACTAAAGATATGATAGTAATCAAAATTCAATATGGGCAAAATTAGGCGCCATATCACTGTCTAGATAATCGAAAATCATATTTAGGTTCCTAACACCATTTTTCATTTTATATGATTGTTTAGGATCTACAACGCTTTAAAGTTGTATATTAACCACTTACGCTTTTAATTTCAATCTTACGTTTGTATTTGTATATCTTTGTTACTCTTTCACCTAAAAATACTGAATGGATTTTAATAAAACTTAACAGTAGTATAGCTCATATATGATAATTACATATATATAATAATTAATGTAGTTATTGAGTGAATTGGCCAATATATAGCAATAAGTGTCACATAAGACGGAAAAAAATGTCCCATCTGCGAACCATTTTGGCCTGCACTGCAAAAACAATAAAAGTTACATGAATGTAATGTAGAGTGGAAATATATCTCTTAAATAGTTCTAAAAAAAAGTCCGTGACACCATATATCTATTTTTAATGTGTAAGTCATTACCGCTAAAATAGTGAATCAAAACTAAAATATTATTTGATATCTATTTCCAAAATGCACATTTTGTATTAACAAATCATTTTTTATCAAAACAAATACTTTAATCGCTTTTGATATTTAAAGACGATAAACTTTGCTTTTTACACTATGTCATTTCGACAAATATTTAAAAAGTTTCAACGATGACAAAGTGATAGCGCGTTGTACTATGTATAAGAAAAAAAAATAGGGTATTCGCAGTATCTGATCCTATACGAAGTACTAACATTAAAACTGTGATACATATTTGTTTCTTAGGTTTCATCACACATCACTCATTAAATAAAACTAGTTTTACGGGTTAATGCACGAAACTTTATTTATTTATTGACGTTTCGTAGCCTTTACAGGCTTCGTCGTCAGAATAAAACTTTTATATTAAAGTTTAAAGTTTCGTGCATTAACCCGTAAAAACTAGTTTTTTTAACTGTGATAGTTCCTTCTTATTAAATGATGAAAAATATATTATCATAATAGGTATTTATGATTATTGAATTTTAATGAAAAAATCAGAATTTTACTGTTTTTCATTTTTTAACGATATTACTTAAGGTTACAAAAAAGGCTTACTTAATATAATGACAAATAACCCATTTTTCGCTAGTAAGTACATACTTATTGGAATCGCTGTATTTATTAATCAGCTCGTGATAATATTGGTTTTGTAATAATTCTGCAAAATTCAAAGTAAATAATGTAGATTTTTATAGGTAAATCACCCCTTTCATCACCCTACGCCTATAAGTATTGCGATGTTGTAGCTAAGAACCAAGTTCCCATCTACTTCTTTATGGGAATTCATTATATTCGATTTAGATATTAGGGCACGGAAGCGCAACAAATAAACTCACTTTCGCATCTATAATATTATATTATACTTACTAGTGATCCACCTGGGCATTGTACGGGCGAAATTTATTTATCGGGATAAAAAATAGCCTATGTCACTCG